CAAGGACTGACGCTAAATTTGTTTTAACTCTACAAGTTACTGGTGGTCGCGAGGGTTTCTTAAGACCAATTGGAGATATGTCATTTTATCCAAATTGGGGACGTGCACTCCCATTTTGCGGAATCGATTTACTTGGTGGTTGTTCGCATATCACTGCGAACGTAGTTTATTCCGATTCAATACGAGGGAAATCGTATGCACCTATATATCAGTGTGATAATTTCGAAGAAATAAAAGAAAAGATAGGTTGCAATAAATTGGTTGATGTTCGGCTTGGTGATCCTTTGGATATAGAAAGGGTTGACGGAATATATTATTTTAGTACTAAGGACGAATACTATTTAAATGTTGGTAAAAGCAGTAAATTAGTTTTAAATTGAAACTGGGGTATTTATAAATTCAGTTGGAAAGCATTTATAGCATTGTGTTTCTGATATTGCACCATTTCAATTTATTATGTTATGCACTACAAATGTTAAATATACGTATATGACAAATAATCTGTTAAAAAAATGATTAGCACGACACTAAATACTTAAATTCCTATTTTAAGATTGTTGCAAATAAAAGTCGTTTCTGTATTTATATTCTATATTCTATATATTTATATATTTAAATATTTAATTAAAATAATTTTATTTTTATAAATTAATTTTAAAAATTTAAATTTATATATATATGAATATATATATAAATATATACAAGTAAATTCAGAATAGTTACATATTTAATGTAACTTAGAGCTTATTACCCACATATTATATCAACACAGTTAACTTAATTACTATATTTTATTTTTATTAGTTAATTGCTTTGCTGATTGCTGAAAAGTCAGTTGATTTGCAGTTCGTATATAATTATTTATCTATGTAAATGCATAAACTAAATATTTTGTACCATATGAATGAGTTCAGATAAAATAAATTAACTAAATAGAAACGGATTTGGTTTTATTTTTAATATTTGTTAAATTTGTATTAAAGTTTTTAAAAAGGTAATTTGAGGAGTTCTCCGCTCCGTTGGGAGCTAGCACCCCATTCATTCCTATTCCTAAGCTGAGCATAATTAATTTATACAATTTATTCTATATTTAAATATATATATTAATTATTCACAAATCGAGAGTTCTTTGAAGCCAATACAAATGAATGAATGCTGGTAATGTGGTACTGTTATAACTTAAGTCAGATAAAATCATCTATTATAATATTATATTATTTTAAATACCAGGTAAATAATAATCTATGTATATGTTTTTAATTGGAAAATGTACACATTTTTGATACAGATTTATCATCCGTATTTGAATAGCTTATTTTTTAAGTTGATAACTTCTACTTTTACAATATTTATTAAGTTATAAGTTAAGTTATATGCTTTAAATGATGTGCGAGAATGGATAACACTAAAAATCTATTATTATCACAGATATCTTTAATATATTTAGTTTAAGAAATATATACTCTTTAGCATAGTGAAACAGAAACAAATTAATTGGCTTTTGAAAAAAATCACTTCACCGCTTTAAAGTAGTTCGAACGATATATTTCTAAATTAGAAACGATCCGACTATATTTTCCCAAGTTATCATCTTTATAATGTACCTTTAAATGGTTTCATAAATAATGAATAAAAAACGTTCTTCACGTTAATTTAATAATTATTTGGCGGGACAATATAGCGTTAAAAAATACGATATCCTTAAAAGTTTAACAAACATATATAAATACTATCGTACAGATACTGAACATCTTCACAAGGTTTTTTTATAATATCGGTAATTGAAACTGTCATAGAAAGCAGAATTTTCAAATGTATTAAAGGAAACATGTTTGTTTATTTTACATGCCCATTTTTGTCACGAGCATACTTTTAGCTATATGGGTATTTGGGAACAAATCAACCCACAGCTGACTGGACAGCAATCGGTGAAATCTAAACAAAACGATCAAAGAGCGCAAAAGACGATCGGAAAGAGTATGAAATCTGCATTTTGGGATATGCACCGTACTTTATACATTATATTCGCTGAATCTCAGAAAATAATAAAATAGCATAGCATTACTGGAGAATATGAAGATGAAATTGTAAAAGAAATACCAGTGCATTTGGAAAGAAGACCAACGTCTTTTACTAATGTTGGCTTACAATTTGATAATAGTAATAACAAAATTAGACAAATTTAAATCTAAATTGTTTCTCTCTCTCTGTACTATATATAGAATAGAAATAATAGAATATAAATAAAGGGGGTACCATTTCCTAACGAAGCGGAGCACTGCGACCACAGTTGATTTTTTATGCTGCTGTACTATATATAGATAGTTGATATTTTTGTTATTATAGTTAAATATAGAACTTGATATTATTATGATACTAACTCATCATTTTTTTTAAATTCTTAGTCAATTGAATTGTTGCGAATGGTCAAAAGTAAGATTCCATACAATAGTACTTACTACTTACTTATGTGGCTATAACAACCCGTTACCGAGTTTCGGCCTGACGCAGCATGTCTCCCCAGGCGCCTCTGCTGTGACAGTCTTGCGTCCTTCATTGGTGGCTGATTTTACGTGACGGGTACCAAACCCTGTGCACAACCCAAATTTAAAGTCTTGGGGATGAGACTCGCCGTACGCACTATTAGTTCATTACCCAGCGGGTGCCAGGTAATCATCCAGGGGTGCCACGAGGAGGCTTTGCGACAACTTGGATTGAGGACAACAAGGATTGTGCTGGCATTTTCCATATTAAATGCAATCAGACACGTTGCCTTGTGTACTCGCTCCCCTCCAAACAATAGTATTAAAATTAAAACAAAAAAAAAACAACACAATGATTACGTTAATTTGTAAAGCTGTGGCTTATGTGCTAGTTCTAATTAATAACTAATAATTAATAACTATTTTAATTATGAATAAACAACAGAAATCATCAAAATTCTAAATATAAATAGAGTAAATTAGTTGAACGTTGGCGTCATGTGTTAAGACTCTAATTCATAGTTCATATTTGACAGTAGATGTTTTTAAAGACAACTGATTATGGTCATTTGATATATCCAAAACAGTTGTCTAAAGTTGCCTAAGAATTCAATTAATTAAAAATTTTTTGAATTTAAAATTTTATTAATACTAACTTTTCTATTCAAAAATAAATTTCTTGTCATAGTACAAAAATAATTTTTAATTATTAATAAAAATAATTTAAAAAATTTATTTCAGTTTTGTATACAAATTTTAGAGCTCAGTGGAATATTAATTCATAAGGGACGATATATAGCTGTAGTTTATGCGTTGGTTATAATAATTAATACAGTAAGCTCAAGATCATACTCATAGTAAAGTCCTTTTCTATTTATGCAATTAAAATATCTTTTACTTTTATTAGTTGACATTATTTTTATATTCCCACATTTTTATATAAATATGCTTATATATTATATATGTAAACGTCACTATATATTATATTTTACATTGTTTTTCTATTTGTTTTTTATATTTTTTTATATATTTTTAAGACATTAAAATAGTTTAATATAGAGAAATAATTATAGTTTAGTAAATTTTTTGCAGATCTGCGGAAAAAACTGAATGAGTTTCTAAACAGAATATATTGATAAATTATTTTTTACCTTCATCCTTAGCGCCCATGTTTTTGATAAGAGTATATAATGAAAATGAAAATTTCGCTAACTTAATGAAGAAAAAAACAATTATAACAATAGTTCTTTAGAAAAAAGGAAAATTATATTTAAAAGAAAAATAAAAAAAATATATAAAATAAAGTTAAGCTTCGCTTCAGTGGCATATACAGAGTGATGGTTAGGGGATAGATTTCCCCTAACAATGCATGTTTTATATAGTGCAAAATAAAGGTTCGACGTATGGAGACTAAATAATAGGCAAACAAAAGTATATGTAATCTATTGGTAAGTGAGAGTAAAAATATTTTAATAAAAAAAAATAATTTATTAAAGTACCTTTAGCAAAGCGAAAAAGTAAAATATGAAATATATCAACTTCCGCAAAACAAGTAATTAAAAAGTGCTGGGTAACCGTACTTAAAAATAAAGAAAGATAAGCGGTTTCTATAAAAAGCTTCTATTGAAACAGTTTTTGACAATATTATATTTGCTGAATAGATTACAAGAAGTCCTTGAAGTCCTTATGATAATAATAATTATGAATGGTACTATGTCTAGAGATAATTAGTTATAATCTGTCTTGTAGATTCCTTTTTTAATTAGTAATTTAAAATAACATAATTTTAGTAATAACTCAATCAAGAAATTACTAAGATAAATGATAAATTTTAATATTTTCTCGATGAAAGAACAAGTATAGAGAATGCCTTGATACAAAAGTCTTTATACAACATTATAATAATAATAATAATAATAATAATAATAATAATAATACGCCTTGCTCGACGTCTATGATTTCGACCAGCCTCTTATACTGGGCATAGGCTGTCTATAAGCCGCTTCCACCTTTCGCGTCGTAACGCTACGTTCTTTATGTCTGTAATGTTGCTTATGTTTCTTCCTAGAGCCTGCAAAATGATGTTTATTTCATTCAACGTTGATCTTCTCCATGTTGTTTTTGGACGGCCATTATATAATTATTTAGTTTTTGGACATTATATAATGTTTAATTTTTTTAGTACTAAATGGGATAAGAAATGGGTCAGCTTTATATTTACACTTCACTTCATATACCTCATTTCATATTTGAGTGTGATATCATATCAGTCACTTCATATTTGACTATTAATAGATCATGAATCCATCCACACTTATATTTTCCCTTTTACTTTAAGTAAATACAAAATAGAGTTAAGTATGATTCTTATTAAAATATTATTAATACCACACTTTTACTATTTTTGATCAAATTTGAATATAAACTGCAGATGAATGAAACCCACACTGTATTGTAGGGACTGTTTATGACATAAGTATATGTTTCTTGAAACTATATAAATAAAATTTCTAGGAACACAAAAAAAAATGTAAGTAGTTATGTATTTAACTTTTCAATGGTGCTTTATGCAGATGACACGTGCTTGCTCTACTTTAACCGGGATGCCATAAATGTAAGTAACACCTTATAGAGAAATATAGACCTCATGGTGGAATACTTCCAGAAATGGAAGATTAAAATTAACAACGAAAAAACCAAGGCTATATTTATAACACGAAAGAGAAGTCCGCATCCTCCAGGAGTGAGCATCGGTGGCACGGAGATATGGTGGGAGGAAAGCATAAAATATCTAGAGGTCACTTTTGACAAACGGCTTAATTGGTACAAACATATGAAATGGAAACGGAATAGTTGCTCTAAAATTCTACATCTCCTTAAGCCGCTGTTTAATAATAATCGCTTCAACCTCAAAAATAGAAAGTTATTATTTATGTGGGGTGTTTGGCAATATTTGAATTAGCTGTTTAATAAATTTACCAAAAAATTCAATTAATTAAATATAAAAAAATTTGTTGTTGTAGTTCACTATTGTTAAAAAACTTTTCTTATAATTAAACTTGTTAACTTACATTGACGAAACTATCCAACGTTATTGGAAAGAAATTTTCTGCTTTTAGTTCCATTTTGAGCTGTGAACGTTGCATGAAAAATACCAGGGTTTGTTTATAGTCCTTATCCTGATCAAACCAATTGGTGTGGAAGATTTCATTCGTCACTTTGCTGAAATCTACAGTAAGTCCAGTGGCAAAATAGCAAAGAGGAAAAATTTGTACAATGGCGGCAATGATGTAAAAGAGGCAGCCTACTCGTCCGGATAATTCTGTTGTATAGATAGTGACATTAATCAGAGTCGTTGATAAAATAGCGGCGGTAAAGAAAAACTGCACAAAAGTCGTTAAGGATATGACAGGCGCTATGATGTTGTAGAGTCTAAACAAAATAACTTATTGTATATAATGAATTATTATTACAAATTAAAAAAAAATTTTGCAGAACAAAAATTCAATTAATTAAACATTATAAATTTTGTTGTTGTAATATACTATAGTTTAAAAACTTTTCTTAAAAAATTTTCTTTTTTCTGTGTCATCACTAATTAGTATCATAAATAATAATCGCTAAAAACAATGATACTTACTCGATTAAATGTTTGTGATCTTTTATAACAATTTTTAATTTTTTCAAATTATCTTCTACATCTGCATTACCAAGTGATTGTAGTTTTTGTACACGTATTAATAGAATTTGAAGATGAGCTCGTAAAATACCGATATAAATTACAGGATAGGTATCATCGCATATCTGATGCAAACCAGCAATGTTTATTAAAATGTATTGAATTATTGTGACAAAAATTAATTCCAGTTTTGATTGTTGCCAATCAAAAAAAGGCAAATACATAGAATAAGGTACATGACCTGCCAATACAGCACCAATTAAGGTACTTGTCGAATAACTATAATAACAAATGATAAAGAATTTAGAGCAATTTCGACCGAACCGCACAATTTTATGTAATTCAGCAATTTCATCCTCCTCCTGACAGCGTCGATCCATGTGTTCCAATAATTTATGTGCATCATACAATCGAGGTAACATAAATGCCATAATAATCAATTTACTGGAACCACCATAACAATTGATGCCAATTTGCATTGACGTTAGTAAGTTGCCAACATCCAGTTCACTAAAATTAAGACTAGCGTACTGTAGCGTAAAGGCGATAGGTATATATATTGTTGTGAAAGCGTTTAATATTATTGAATAGATAATATATGGAATTCTATAGGTCTGAGGCAGAGGCGAGGCGTCGAATGGTTCAGAGTGTTCACTGAACACCTTAACAAAGCTTCCTTTTTAGATTTTTTTTTATTAGGTAAATAATCTCGCTATATTGCTACTTAACATTTTTTATAATAGCTTTTCCAAACAGATTAACATAAACACAAAACGTAGAATACAAACAAAATCACACATGTGTTAGTTACACCCAACATTACTTACAATTAATAAAAGAGAAAACACATTCCTCTTAAAATATACTAAGGTTCAAAATTAAAACTGCACCGCGTTGCTTACAAAGCATGCAAATGAAATAACATTCACATTGGGACTATGTTCAATATTAAATACACAACACAAAACATACAAACAAATATATGTACGTAAAATAATCTTTACTCTTAAATTAATGCGTGCAAGCAGTTCAATAAAAAAGTGCACTTCCAATGTTATGCAAAGTAAATACAAAAGAGAAAAGAAATAACTGAGCGAAAATCGCTTTACATTTGACGAGAGGATCATTCCAATAAACTGAACCAAAAGTTTATACAAAGCGTGCAAATACAATCAAAGTCACGGTTGCTGTTTTATATGGGGAAATGGTTCAGTATAAAAACTGAACCGGGCATTGTAAATACAAAGTAAAAGAGTAAATGAATGCATGAGAGTTTCTTACTCTTATATAGAGGTTGGAAATAAATCAATAACAAAGTCATTATTGCAATTTAATACTAGCAAATGGTAAAAGTAAAGAAAAAAATTAAAGAAATTTGAAGTGAAAAATAATATTTAGAAATGAATTAATGTGTGATTAAAGATTTGATTCAAATATCTTTTTTTAAACGATCTTCTGAAAAAAAGATTTTAATTCATAAAATGAATAAACCAACTCCAGATATGAAGAATTTGATACCTGTTGTAAAAATGTCGAAATCTATGGTAAGTCGTCGTTTTCCTACAGCTATAGCTTTATGGTAAATAAAAACCAGTGGATCACAGGCTGCGAACATTTAAATAAATTGTTTTATTGGTCTTGTACGCTATTTGCTTGTGGAAAGGACAAAACTTAGAAGTAGGGGGAATACGTTATAGTTGGAATTCTGTTTTGATTAAATTGTGAACACCTTGCCAAAAAGCTGACGCCTCGCTACTGGTCTGAGGAATATGTAAACCCAATATACGATATCCTCTGTATAAATAAGTTGTTGCTTGCTCCGTAGCCACATCAAGCACGAGCACTAAAATCATTCAAATAAAATAAATATTTAGAACTATTATATATGTAAAAATGTCAATGTACACTACTTTCTCCTTTAGTAGATTTCACGTTTCTAATTTCTGTCATTTTTCTGTTCGTTCATCAACCTTGTCATGACTAACTATTGAGGTTATTTTCTAATATGTGGTCCTTTTATAAGTGTTAATCAAAGGCTAATTTCAATAAGTAATAATACTTGTCATATTTTTGCTCTTTAATTAGTCAATCAAAAAGAGTAAATTACTATTTTCAAATACGTTTAAATGTGAAGTTAAAATTTGTTCCTGACATGTTTTTTTAACTAACATAAAGTTTAATTTATAATGATGATATATACATATATACATTAAAAAATATGATTTTTTTTTTTTTGAAATATAACGACAAATGGCATAGCTTACACCTATAAGAAAGAATTTAGTTAAATATTTTTAATTTTATAAGAAGGTTGCTTTTGTTGCTTTTAATATTATATATATATATCTTATTTAAGCGAAATATTTGTTTTTAACTATTAATTTATAAAACAATCAATATCTTTGGTATGCTTTGCTAAAACATTTTTTTTTATTGTTGTAGCGATATGGATTCGTATTTTTTTTTTGCCAAGAAAACAATAATAAAATTTCTTTTACTTCGATGGATGAAATTAATTTGCTTCTTTTAATTAAAAAAAAAATATTTTTATTATTAGTAATATAGGATACCGTAGTAGTAGGTGTATTCGGCTGCACTGAAGTGTGGCAAAAGACAACAAGTCGCTTGCTTAAAGTCGCTAAATGACATATTGACATCCCCGTTGCAATCTGTCCAACGTAATGTTGTCCCCGTTGTACATAATCTGTATGTTGGTTCCATTTTTCTGGTTCTAGGTTCAAGAAATCTGTAGATATATTGAATCGCTTAAAAAAGTTAATGGTATTGGCTGTCACAAAATCCTCTAGTGATTTCGATAAAATATAAATATATATACATATAAAAATGTATATATATACTTACACATGTCTATATGTTGCTGTTGTTTTTGTGGTTTGAGTTAATGCTATTGCGCTCTTTTACTCTTTTATGGTTGGGGTTCTCATCTCTGCTCCACACTAAGCTTTAATTATACTAGAATTATTATCATTTATTTGTCTTTTAACAGATGATGGACCGTAGATCAGCATATCTTGCTGTGCGTCCTGAGGTGGACTTAAGGTTTGTTAGGGTGGGGTTGGGAAAAGTAGCGATTTTTATGAATAATTTTAAGGCACTGTCCTTGATATATTTTTTCACTGAGTCGATCCTATACTATACTTTTATTTAAAACAACAAAATGTAAAAAATAATTGAAATAGTAAGCTTTGATGAAAACAAATTTATTTTTCTGTCCATATTTATATTTTATATCAGATGTAATTTAGATATAAAAAATTATTAGTTTTTTAAAGGTTGAGGTAGCTAAATTTTTAGTGTTTAATAAAAATAAGTTTCAAAGAAATGAAATAAATCTTTATTTTTGATGGACGATACTAAGAATTTAGGAGAAAATATGGAACCCACAGAAACCACAACAACCACAAGAATCGGTTGTGTATGTGATGCTAAAAAAATAAAAGTAATGGTTTCCAGAAGTTGTCAAACGGATGTAAGATATCTTCTTATGAATGTACTACTAATTCTTTTTAATAATATTCAAATTTTCTATTATATATAAAAAAGGATATACCAGTGATGGACATGCTTGAACAAGCAATTAAAAAAAATCCAGATCTGAGAGAGGTGCTTATAACTTATGCTCTTAACGAATCCGCTAAATTGAGAAATATAAATAAACACTTTGTTCCAATTGAGGATAGAGTGAGTCAAATCATTTAAATAATAAATAAATTTATATAATAAATATATATGTTAATATTCATATTTTCTAAATTTAAGGTGGCCAATGATTTTAATCTTGCCTTGTGCTCCAACGATTGGAAACACTTTAGGCACAGATCTTCGTCTATGATTAGAAAAGATTATATTAATCGCTGCGTTAACAGAATTGGCAAGAAATATGATTTGGAATGCGAATCTAATAATTCCATTTCCAATGTAATTTCAGAATCAATTTGGCCAGATATTAATAAAGAACACCGCAATGAAATCCAACAACGCAAAATTACTACCAAGTATTACAACGCTAAAGATAATAGCTGGCATGAAGAAGTGGAAGATCCAGTATTATGTTGTAGAAACAAATATCTCGCTTGCAGTAATCAAATAGATATATCCAATAACAACAGCGAAACTTCTAATAATATTGAGGAATCAACTGAGAGTAAAGATGAACTAATATGTTCAGAAAGTATGAATAATGAAGCCTCTGCATATAGTAAGAAAAAAAATGGCCTAGGCTTCACAATGCATTATTCAGCGAAAGATGGAACTTGGTTTAAAGTTCCAGATTCTGTATCTAATAGTATTGAAGCTATCGAAAAAAATAGCAATGGTGGTAGTTTTGAGAATTTAGAGAACGATGAGGATTGTATAACTCTGTGCTATTCCGCAAAGGATGGAAAATGGTATGAACCGCATGATCAGCATCATTATGCAAGCGTGCCTGTAGCAGAGTTAGTTAAAAAGTCATTAAATGATCTCAAAAAATCAAAATGCTCCTCTGCGCTTTCAAGTGATGATGAAAATTCCTCTTAAGTTCATACGTTATTCTTTGTACATCATCTTACTAAAAAAGGATTAGAATTTTGTGTCAGATACGGATTATGTGTCTATGGAACAACTATGGATCTGATTGCGTGAGTACAATATTAACATTGATAGCATAAAGAACTAATTACAAATGAGGAGTTGATTTTATCATATATTTATTTCGATTTTAAAGGGAAAACGTTCCTTGAATTATTTTGAAGCCACTGAATATGTTTTGATATGATGTGCTGGGAATTCATGATTTTGGCATTTGTAAAGTTAAAATTTAAAGAGAGTCTTTGGCAAGGTGTGTTCGAGAGAAAGTAAAATTTTAGAATAAATAAAAGCAATTTGGTACGATTTTGGTATATTTGGCAATAAAACAATCCTTGTAATTTGAAAATTAATGTCTCTTATTGAGTTTTATGAATATCTTTATTTGGATGAATGAGCGTTCTCTTATTAAAGATTTAGCAATTATATATTTTAATTTAATAACATTTTTTTAATGAAGAATTATGAAGAACTTGTAATTCTGCTCAGCATGTTAATCGTATGACTGACAACATACTATATGTGGACATGACAGTTATAATAAAATAATCTTTAAAAAATAAACAATAGAAATTTCATAATTTTCATGAATTTTCATTACAAAATAGGACATGAAAGTCAGTTTATACCATTGGTTCCCAACCGATGGTCTACGGACAAAATTTAACAAATATAGATACATAGTCTGTAGTTTATCCACTGAGACCTCACTTATTAGAAAATAGGCACGGAAAGTATGTACCTATTTTATAGCCTATATAATATACCCATGCACTTATACATGGAGACAGAATCCGTCAAGAGTGAGAGTGGGAGATATGGTGATAAACTGGGAGGATAGCGTTAAATATCTCGGTATCACGTTGGACAAATGATTCACATGGCTTAAATATGTTCAACTGAAAAGAATTAGCTGCGCCAAAATTCTTCATTACCTCCAACCGCTATTTAGAAATGAAAACCTCAATGCTAAGAATAGGAAACTGATATATAACCAAATAATTTGTCCTTCACTTCTATATGGTTGTGTAGCGTTTAGCAAAGCTTCAAACACTACTATTCACCAATTAGAAATTGCACAAAGCCAGGCTCTGAGAAGACTTTTCAAAGTTCCTTGGTATATTAGGACGAATGACATCCTTAGGGACCTCAAGATTGATCCCATCAAAAAATACATAAAGGATAGAGCCCTGAAATTATTTGCGAAATCTGACAGACTTACTAACACCGCGTTATCAAATTTCAGAATGGTTACAGGCTCCTCGGGGAGATATGCAGATCTGAGGTCAATTATTGCTTAGTCTAATGAAGTGATAAACAATAATCCAGTCAAGGCGCAAAGAGGGGTTTTGTAGAAACCTCGCAGTTAATAGAGAGTAAAACTGCTCAGGTGCACTGACTCAACTCAACTAGCCTCAACATAGTAGTTTTATACAATTTATTATACATTATACCAGAGATGCATAAAGCATATTAAAATAATCATACAGTTTATTATTCTTAAACTTTGTGGATCCTACTAAAAACAAAAATGTCATGGTGGTTCTTGGATAAAAAAAAGCAGGGAACCACTGGTTTATAGTGTTACAGACAAAAAACATAACATATGAAACTTGAAGAAGTTCACTTTGAAAGTGATATGATCGAAAAGTGTTTATAATCACGATAAAGTCGTTTATAGGGACTTTATATGTAATTTGAAAAAAGAACTGTGTGCATTTAAATAAAAACAATTTAAGAATCAGTATTGGGATTGAGACAAAGTAGTGAATATTAAATTATCACTTTATAAGATTGAAAAGTTTTTTAATGAAGTTTGTGTTTTGTAGTAAAGAGTATGGTAACGCAAGAGGACCGTACTGAGAGCTAATCTAGCATTGACGTTCCAGTAAAAGAAATATCTACGTGGGCATATTATATAGATTGAAGAAATATGGTAAGACACGGTAAAGTAGGTTCGTTATAATTTAATTTATTGAAATTTATTGTGGCACTAAAAGTATCTAAGCTACAATGAAAAATTGTAACTTAATAATAAGTTCTACTTTTTTAAAATTCTGCAAGCTTATATCACAGAAGGTTTCATTTTTTACTTATCCAGCCAGGTCGAAGGTTTTATTAGTTATCCATTTTTTAATAATCTGTAGCTTAGTTAACAAATTATTTTTAAAGCAATCGACTATTTAAAATAAATTTAATATAATGTCTCCTAAAATTAAAAGGAAATACTCTTCGTTAAAATCAAATAATTTTAAATCTTTTTTTTTAATATGGAAATTCCTAAGATAATTTTCGTGGTTTGCTTCAAAGTCTAGATTTTCAATGAAATATATGATGTATAAAATATAAACTAAATAGTTTTTGTATGTAAAATGTGCCTTTATTAAGTATTCTTGCTAAATTCTAAATTCTAAATTATTTTGTAAAAAATTATAAAATAAATAAATTAAAAATCATTTGATGTTAATATATTTACTTGAATTTGATACAATTCCTGTTAAATAGTTTTTATAGCAGGTTTGTTATTTATTTATGCAATGACTTGTGAATAATTATATAGGCATTGTAGAAGAATAAATTTTATAAATAATTTATAAATAGTATACATTAGGATATTCTGTGCAAAACTGTGAATATATGTAAATAAAATTAAATAAAATTTTTTATATATATATAATAATAATATTTAATCATTAGTTAATTTCATCCTTTACTCTTTTACGCCCATATTTTTTATAAGAGTATATAGTGAAAAGGAAAATTTCGCCAACTATTAAAAAAAAAGGAACACAAATTTTATAATTAATTTAAATAAATCAGTCAATTCTAATATATTAATATATTAAATTAAAAAAAATTTGAGATGAAATTTATATATAGTTATTGATACTATATTATATTATCATTATTTAACTATCTTGCAACAATTGAAGCAAGTAATATACAGTAGGCAATTATTTTCTATAATGTTTTTAGCCCGCTATATACAAAGACCCTACATATTCTGATTTCGCACTAGCGCTGTATATATTTGTTAAACTATTGGTTGATTTAACCAGATCTTGACTAAATCTCAGATCAAAATATTTCTACTCGACTTATCATGTTGGTTCAACCATACCATTCTTAACTTCTTTACTACATGAATTAAAATTTCTTTAACAAAAAGATAAGGTCAATTTAACTAGTGTCTGCTTAGAGCATATTTTTCTGGGAAGGTTTAGGTTTTTTCCTTCCCTAACTGCTGTAATCATTGCAATTTTTGTTGCTATTATGTATTCAGTAATAGATCACACTACTAAACAACTTTGTATGTTATATGTGTTAATCTTAATGATCACTTTTTGTAAGGTTAGGTTAGGTTCATTAAAATTCCAAAATTAAAATAATTTATGCATGGCAACAATATATGAATTTTAATCATTTTATGTTTTAATAGCAAAAACATATCTCACAGATTACTACTACACTATAACCTAGCTTTAATTTGATACAATCTAAACTTAAAAAAAATTGATTTTTTATATAAAGAGATATGAAACTTATGATTATATATAATTAAATGCAATATAATAATTAAATAATAATAACAAATATTAAAACAGAAAAATTAAATTTTTTAACTTACACTGACGAAACTGTTTAAATTAATTGGGAAAAAATTTTGGGCTTTCAATTGCATATTCTGCTGGGAGCGTTGTATGAAAAATATTAACGTACGTCTATATCGCTGGTGCTGATCAAACCAACTGCTATGAAAAATTTCATTACTCAGCTTGCTACTATCTTCAGTTAGTCCAGTGGCAAAATAACAGAGAGGAAAAATTTGCAAAACGGCAGCAAACATGAATAAAAGACAACCAATACGTCCGGATAGTTCTGTAGTGTAGATAGTTACATTAATTAGTGACGAAGCTAGCACAAACGCAGTGAATAGAAACTGCACGAAGGTTGTTAAAGAAATGACAGGTGCTATGATGTTGTAGAGTCTGAAAAAATATAGAAAGAATTCGATATCTAATATAACAAGTTTTTATAAAAAATTTTAATATTAAAAGTATTTTACTATATATATATATACTAGCTGACCCGGCGAACGTTGTTTCTCCTTGCAATTAATTTTCCTGGCTCAGCTGAGTTATAATATTTGTTGTTATTCAACTTAACCTTTAGCATTTTAATGCGAAAATTATTTTGAATTGATTTTTTCTTTTGATCTACAAAAAGCCCACATGCATTACTTATGTTACAAATATTTTCATGTTATTTCAAATCCTTATAAGCACTACATTTTGAATGAAAAAAGGTTATTGTTTATCACTTCATCAGACTAAGCAATTATTGACCTCAGATCTGCATACCTCCCCGAGGAGCCTGGAACTATTCAGAGATTTGATAACGCGGTGTTGGTAAGTCTGTCAGATTTCGCAAATAATTTCACCGCAGCATGATTATAGGTGAGCCAATTTTTAATCTTAAGTTATATGGTAGCATTCCTGGTTTGTATAGTTGTCGTTTAGCAGTCTCTTTGAAACGGTATTGAACAACTGGACTAACTGGTTGTGATTTTTTAAAAACGGTTCTAAAATACCTACAATTTCTTGCTCCTCCATCTGCTCGATATGGTTGTACTGGCAACGTGCGTTTATTTGCTGCTTCTCATCACCCATAAAGTAGATTTGCTGAAATTGGGGTCATTATTGGGCATCGGCATTAAAGAACCAATTTGGTGATACACTTGGCCCTGAATCTTAAGCGTTGATTGAAAATTGCGACCAATCACATTCTGAACGATTTTTGTTGTTCCAAATGATGTCATTTGAAAGCACGAATTCAGCTATCCTGTTGAATTTTTGAATTCGCTGGAATACCAGGAATACCAACACATAACTTAAGATTAAAAATTGGCTCACCTATAATTATACTGCGGAATTTAAATGCAGATTTTAAACTTTTTAAACAAATCAAAGCAAGCATGAATAAATTTTAAATTTCTAATATAAATGTATATGGATACCAAAAAATAAAAAATTAATTAAAAAGACATTATCCAGTGGGCAAAATTGTGAATCTAAACCTTGAATCCACTTGAACACACACAAAAAATTTCATCAAAATCGGTTCAGCCGTTTAGGAGGAGTTCACTGTCAACACACGTACAGAAGAAATATATATATAAGATATATATATATATATATAGTACTTTATATATATATATATATATTTATGGTATATAAATTTTATTAAAATTACTTATTACAGTTGAACAGTAATTCTCGTCTTCAATATTTATAAAAACATTTCTATCAATATTATTGCATGAATACCCGATGTTAAGCATGTAATGTT